GCGAGATCAGAGGATGAGGGGGTTGTTGTGGCGAGTCGCGCCAAACCGCCGACGGCTCTCAATCCCCCGATGCAGCGTCATGCACCACTCTCGGCTTCCTCGTGGATCGTCGGCGCCTTGTCGTGGGGGTTAAAAATTTTCCTGATGACGATTTCCAGCAGATACACTCGTAGCGAAAGTAATCCGACGGCGATAGAGTGCTGTCCAGGGTCGGTGGTCGATTTGTGCCGTGATCAAGCCGTCAGGTCGTGGTGGAGTTGGTAGAAGTGAAGTCTGAACGGTGCAGCGTAGAGTGAAGGGGGCGGACACATGAGCGAGGCAATTTGCTCGCTTAACGGGGGTGGCCGCCTGGGCTGGTACGGTGCTGGGACTGGCTGGGCCGTGGGTTGCGCTGGCTGGCACTGGCAAAAGACACTGGCGGGTTAGGTACTGCTACCGCTACGGAAAGGTAAGGTCGGGTGGGTGAGGTAAGCCTGGGCTGGTTAGGTAGGTTCAGAGGGCGGGAGGGAGGGAAGATGGGGGAGGGGGGGAGGGTGTGAGTACCTACCCTACGTGAGTCCCGACGGCGGCGGAAGAGGGAGTGAGGTGGGCAAATGGCAGTTTGCCGCGGGAGTGTCAGACAAGACTGGGAGAGTGGAGGGAGTGAGCCTGACACAACAGGGGGGGTGGGAGAATGAGAGTCTGCTGTTTCTGGGACCAGAGCCAAAAGCAAGGCCCCCTCCACCAGTGAATCGTCCAGGAAACCATGACCACCGTGCTCCGACACCCGACACCCGATCACCGGGCCCTGACGGCTGGACTCTTTGGAGTTGAGGTTCACCACGATGGCACGCACCCACCCTGCCACCTCGAGATAGGAGGGGCGTGGCCGGATCAGGCAACCGGCAGGCAGCGTACCTGACCAGCCTGGGTGCGCATCTTACATAAGCCAGACCAAGGTGCCCAGAAGTAACAATACCACGTTGTGTACGTAAGCCCCGAGGTACCGCACCCAAGCCACAACGCCGCAGCACACACATCAAAGTCACGTGGTACTGTATCAGCCCCACACCGCGGAACGGGCCAGGCAGGCTCTGCAATTTTTAAACCTCGCGACCGCGAGCCGCCTTTTACTCTTCTTCTCCTCTCCATAAACCTAAGACCACCTTAATCAAATAATCGCCAGCCTGCAACGATTTCACATCACATTCTACGCTGCTGGACGAGACCTGAGGATGAGTCAAGATGAACTCTTTCAATGCCCTTGTTAAAAACAATCGTCAGCGAGGGCCCCTCGTGCGGCTTCCCATGATGCGACGATCACCTGATGCAAGTTTGGACATGCCCTCGTATTGAGGTGCTCTTTCTCTAGCTCTCTGCTATACGCCTTTTTGATATGTGACGTGATGTTGGTTACCTTGCCATCTACAACCCACATTGGTAGAGCTCCGAAAAGGAAGTTGTCCCAGGCCCATAAGCAGTCAGGATCATGGATCCTGCATCGTCAAAAGGTACGTAGTATATAGACCATCATGCCCAAATGAACACAGTCCCCTCTGGAGATGCGGATGACACCCATGCATCTGGTAAACCGATTGCTCAGCCGCGAGGGCGGCGGCTTTGGCCAATGCACTCGACCGGGTTGGGCCTGCGGAAAACTGGCATATCTGAATCGCTCTGTTATCACAACTCTTTTTTGGAAGCGCGCGGAACCTTCCAGCTCATGCGGCTAACAGTTTTTCCCGTCATCCAGGTCCACACGGTATTCCAACACGAGCACTCTGCCGAGGCATTGGAGGGTTGCATACTCTGATACTGAATGGCCCATCGAAGGCGGTGTTCTTAGGTATCTGCCACAAGGTTGGTCGGCTTGAGGATAGGCTCAGATCTGACAATTAAAGAGTATATCATACCTTTGTTCCTCACAGAGTGACATTTCAAGAATCCCAAACCATACCCCGTTACAAAGAGCTTGGTATTATCATTTCATTCATATGCAGAATGCTGCCGCCGTATCCCTCAAAACCATCTCCCGCAATGACGCGGAGCACCAAAAGCAGTCCCTCAATCATAGCCAACCTCAAATTGCATTCCTGTACACCTGCGCACCCTGGTTCCGGAACATGATTGTATCCCTCCTCTGCATGATCATCAGCGTCCTGTTGAGGGCCTGCTCGCTGTACCCCTTCTGTTCGACCATCTCGCGTCTCAGACTCGCGAGACTTGTGCCCCATCCAACAGCAAGACGACGCTTGAGTTCCGTCTCTAATCTGCTGACTTCCTCGTTGAGCTCTTTGCTTCCCTGGTTGCTGCCCTGGTTGACAGCATCCATCGTGGAGCACAGGAACAGTCTGATGGCCTCGTCTACATGCTCCTCTGTTGCAATAGGAGACAGCGTCAACTTGGCCAATGATTCGGTGATACGAACAATAGCCTCAAGTTGACGAACGGTGATAGGGATAGAAGACCTTGTGTTGGCCTCCATCTCAGCCGCGTGGACTTGTCTACGGATGGAAACGAAATGGGAAGAGAGCTTCTCAGCAGCCTCGGGGCTGAGACGAGGAGCCATACGTCTGGAGTTTGTTGTTAGCATTTGATCAGTAGGCATGCCGATGGACAACACTTACGATTTGCAGTAACTGAGGTACCTCTTCATCTTTTCGACTGGGATCTCAGATTCGACCTGTTCCTCGACGCCTCGGCCGCCCATGTGGATGCCCATGACGTGCTTTGCTATCCTCTCGTCCTTCTCTCTGGTGTGTTCATCCTTGACAATGAAGATCATGTCAAATCGTGACAAGATGGTGGTCTGGAAGTCAATGTTCTCGCCAGGAGTCTTCATGTCATCGTACCGACCGAAAATCGGATTGGCCGCAGCAAGCACTGATGTCCTTGCGTTGAGAATTGTTGTGATACCAGCCTTTGCGATCGAGATGGTCTGCTGCTCCATGGCCTCGTGTATAGCCACACGGTCCTCATCCCGCATCTTGTCGAACTCATCGATACAGACAACGCCACCATCAGCCAAGACCATGGCACCTCCCTCGAGATAGAACTCGCGAGTTGAGGAATCACGCTGCACCGACGCTGTGAGACCAGCCGCTGAAGAGCCCTTTCCGGATGTGTAGATGGCAATTGGCGCGCACTTCTCCACAAACTTCAAAAGCTGTGACTTGGCGGTACCAGGATCACCAAGCAGAAGGACGTTGATGTCTCCACGAAGTTTCATGCCGTCAGGTAGAATCTTCTTTGAGCCGCCAAGGAGCAGACACAGAATGGCCTTCTTGATATCTACGTTTCCATAAATAGATGGCGCTATGCAGTCTGCCATAATGTTGTACAGATCGGGCCGCCTGCTCATCTCGAGGAACTCTTGCTCTTCCTCGTCAGAGAAGAGAGCCTGGCCACGTGCGGTTTGGTCCATGTCAGTCTGGATGCCTACCGCCCGTAGGTACGGCGTACGGATAGCGACCGCGCCACCAGTGTTTGAGTTTTTGGTTGCCTTGTTCTGGTAGATGGAAAAGATGCCCATGACCGTACATCTCGAACCGGGAACGACGCGGTTGGTCAGGTAACGATCTGCTGAAATCAGGACATGTCTCGGGAGTTCACCAACAGGAACCTGATCCGGAGCCTCTTGTAGTTTGATGATTTGCTGGTCGACGAACTTCGACTTCTCGTGTGACACAAAGTATGGGTCGAGAGGGCATTTTGGTGTGGGGTCGTTGGGTATCCTCTGTCTGCCGCACTGCCTTGGGAGGGTGACGCCGGTAAATCCTCCTAGGACAGGCAGATTCGCGGTATGGGCGCAATTACGGCATTGAATAGACAGCGAAGTAGCTTTGGAAGACATGACAGAGGCGCCAATGACAATGCCCGGCACTCGAACGAGACGCGAGATTGTCATGGAATCTAGGTTGCGGATCGAGACATCCTCAGCGTTGGAGTGGAGCAGGAGTTGATGTTCCGGGAGGTCGACCTTCGTCAGTTGAGGATATACGATGCGGTGGGTACACTTTTTGAGAGCAGCCTCGAACTATTCACGGCGAGGTCAGTATAGTGCTAGAGCTCGGGTCGCACGATGGAGGCCTACCAAAGGAATGATTTCGGCGGGCTCTGTCACGAGTCTATGTGCGAGTTCCTCGTTGTAGTTGATGAGATCGCTGATATCGACATCGCAGTAGTGCTTCTTGAGAAGCGCATTTTCCTTGAGTTGATTTCTATACAAAGCTGTAAGTAATGCGACAAAGCCAAAAGGCACCCTTGGAGCAGTCGACGGACCTGTAGATGTAGTCATTGTCGTGTCTGAAGTGGAGGATGAAGTTCTCTAGTTGGGTCTGGGTCTGAACCCTGCTGTCATCGTTCTGATCGAACGCCGCCGGGAAGACGTGCGACGAGTAGACTGATTGCCTGTCCATGGTAGTGCTTGGTGCTGATTTGTGGTTGTTCACGAAGCGATGTTGAGGATTGAGACTGCAAATGTGGATGGAAGGAGGGGCTCTGGGTTGCGCAGGGGAACCAAATTCGACCGAACGCGCCCCCTTTACCGGACGCGTAAAGTGGTTTATTAGCGCGTTTTCGAAGTCCCTGGACCTGAGTAGGTAAGGCACGTACCGCTGCTTGCAGATAAGGTGGCCTTCGACCTTACCTTATCTTATCCCCACGTGATGTATCATCAGCATTCCCCAGACAGCACTAGCACCTATTATGCGGGTACCTTAGGGGGGCCCTTGATTGTACGCTACCTCTCGGGAACGTGGCTCAGCATGGTGAAGCATGCGCAAAGACCAGCTGTAATCTGTCGTTTCTTCAGTCTTGTCCTTGATCAGTGATAATTATTGCTAGCCATCTTTCTTGAACTTCCCTAATCGATGAGAACCTCCCAGAAATGATACCCCGGTAGCCAGGCTACGTGGCCGTCGACCTATCTATTTGTCGGCTTTCCCTGCGACTCTCAGCAAACGATCGAGGTCCAGACATCAGCGTTGAGCAGCTCGTGTTGAGAGCCATTGCCTCACACCATGTATTCCTCTCCAGGCGCCCGCAAGTCCATGGACACCATTTCGTCCATGTCTCCTCCGGCCACGCGCACCGAGTTCCCGTTCCACAAGTTGGTTACTTTTGCCCGGCCCCTCGGTGGCCACGGTTGCGCTAACAGCAGCAAGACAAGGGCAGGCTCACACTTACAATACCGCGAGACGAGGCTCGAATGCGAGCTCCATACACTCGATAGGGGGGTCTCTCGATACTTCATCCAGTACCTGGGCAAATGCGGTGCTGGAATCTGGCCAAAACGGTATTACTATTGAGTTGGAGATGCCACTGAGCGTGCTGACAAGTCCCCAGCCATATCAACCTTACTGCAACCGCCCATCGTTCGGACGGGCCTGCAGCCTCATACTTCTGCTCCTGCGTCCAGCGCGCACAAACCTCCTACCGCTCGAGATATTCCTCCTGTCACTTTAACGAACATTCCGCACATCGACCCGGCCGAGTTCAAGCCGTACTTGTCGCAAGTTGGCGCCCTGTACGAACAGCTTCGGCGAGTCAAGGAACAAGACGATGACAGGCCTGGTTCCTCAGGTCGTCGGTCGAGCAAACACGACGAGTTCGGGGACTCCATTGATGAGAGTCATCTTAAGCCCGCAGGCCGGCAGCCCCCGAGGCGGAAATCTTCCATTGCATCAATAACGTCCATCTCCTCTCTCGAAGGCCCAGGTCTTTTGCGACGATCCAGTTCAGGCTACAGTAGAAAGGGCGCGCATGGCCCGCCTCCATTGTCGACGATACCCAACGTATACTTTGACGATGACTTTCATTTGGAGAACCCAAGGACTTTCGATGTAGTCAGTGAGAGGTCAGAGGTCGTTCCGCCTGCACCGGGGAGCGTAGACAGCAGAAATGATGGCAATGGCAATATTGTAGCACCACGAAAGGCCTTGGCCACCAACGCCATTTTACAGGAGAAACTCTCCTGGTACATGGATACAATCGAGGTTCATTTGATCAACTCTATTTCGACAGCGTCGACGACATTTTTTACAGCTCTTGGCTCATTGCGGGAGCTCCATTCGGAAGCCGCAGAGTCGGTCGATCGGATCAAGGCGCTCCGTAAGGAACTCGAAGCTCTAGACGAGGAGATTGCCACCAAGGGTCTGAACATCGTCCAGAAGCGCCGGCGGAGAGAAAACGTACAGGCTCTCAACGATGCGGTTCTCCAACTGAAACATATCGTTGAGGGTGTTGCATCGTGCGAGGCGCTGGTAGATGCTGGCGAGGTTGACAAGGCTTTGAGTAATATTGACACTCTCGAGCTTCTGATAGCTGGTGAGCACGACGATTCGCCCGAGGCTGAACCTCCAATACTACCACTGGCACGGATGAGGGATCTCAGGGGAGCGACGGCTCTGCAAAGCGTCAACGACGACCTTCAACAGCTCCGGTCTCGAATCGGAAAAGCCTATGAGACCAAGTTCCAGAGCTTGTTACTAGCTGATCTCCGGAGGCACGTTGAATCGGTCCAAAGTCGGGAAGTCCTTCTTCGCTGGGGCAGCTCATCACTGCGGGCAAGGGGGGGCGCCTCAAGGGAGTCTGCCGGCCCACCGGCCTATCTTGCCTCTACACAAGAACTACGCAAAGCAATCATGCCCAATCTTCATGGTCTGCACAGAGCTCACCACATATCCGCTGCGATCGCAGCATATCGGGAGATTGTTCTACGTGAGATAAAAAATCTCATCAGGAGACCGCTACCTAGCTCCAACGATGACGATAACGAGTCAATGATGTCCGCCTCGACCATGAGCGGCGGAAAACATCTCTCGAATCAGGAAAAGTCGTCCATTTTGTCTAGAAACCTAAGGGCACTAGACCCCAAGGATGCAGAGGACTTACTCAAGTCGATATACATTGGCGTGACCGAAACCCTCCGGCGGTTGACTACCCAGGTCAAGGTTCTTCTCGATATTGCAAGCTGCCTGACAGAGGAAGCCACAGCAGCTGGTCTGAAGTCGCCACCGATTCGCTCCCCACTCGCGAGTCCCACACCTTTCGACCGGGAGTTTCCTCGATTCGACGAGTCTCCGAGTTTCGAGGTCCAAGAAGAGATTCACAAGGCAATGGATATTGCCAACTTGGTCGGACAGGCCGTCGATGTTGCGCAGGATAAGATTGTCAGGGTTTTGAAAGTCCGATCGGAGCAGAGCACGCATCTTAGCCTGTCCTGGTTCCTTCGCTACTTTACTCTCAACCTATTCTTCGCCAACGAATGCGAAGCGCTCTCAGGACGCAGCGGCACGGCACTCAAGACGTTGGTCAACGGCCATATCAAGGACTTTGTACAGCAACATGGCGACGCAGAGAAGCAGAAGCTTGCTCAAGGCATGGAATCCGACCAATGGAGCGCCAAAGATTTCGATGAGAAGAATAAGGCTTTACTTGACCAGGTACTCGAAAGTAGTACCAAGGATGCTGCGGCGTGGTCGGAAGGGACGAAAATTTGGGAAGAGAATCCGGACGAGGTTGTGTCGAATGGAAGCGCAGTACCGCCTCCCGAGACGAACGGCACCAGTGGTAAAGAAAAGGCGCGTGTCGCAGAGATTGAAAGCGAAACTTTCTTGCTCCCCAATTCTGCCATACTTGGTCTCGAAGGCATCTCGCACTTCATGCATCTCATCGGCAGTATTCCTTCCATGGCAATTGACGTCGCCAGTTCCCTTATTGGCTATCTGCAGCTCTTCAACTCCCGCTGTACCCAGCTCATTCTTGGTGCAGGTGCCACTCGGTCTGCCGGTCTCAAAAACATCACGACCAGGCATTTGGCATTGGCATCTCAGGCTCTGTCGTTCATCGCAACACTGATACCCCACATTCGGGAATTTGTGCGACGCCACGCCGGCTCTGGAGCCAGTGTTTCTAGTCTGATGGGAGAATTCGATAAGGTTAGGCGCCTTTTCCAAGAGCATCAGAACAGCATTTACGACAAGTTGGTCGAGATCATGAGCGGTCGCGCGGCACAGCATTCGAAATCCATGAGAGCAATCGACTGGGACCACGACGGCAGCCAGTCGACCCATCCGTACATGGAGACGTTGGCCAAGGAAACCACGACCCTACACCGCGTGTTGACCAAGCACCTACCCGAGACCTCGGTACAGCTCATCATGGGACCTGTTTTCTCAAGCTACAAGGACCAGTTCGGTAGGGTCTTTGAAGTGGCAGATCCGAAGACGGTCATCGGCCGCGATAGGTACGTTTCTTGCGCCCCCCTACCTTGAGACAAAGACAATTGCTAACGACGAAATTGATAGCATGCTCCGGGACGTGGATTTCTTCATCACGAAGCTGGGCAAGCTTGACGGGTTCGGAGACGCGGGCGAGTACTTGAAGAGCTTCATCAACGCCAAGGAAATCAAGAGCACCGTCGCGTCACCGCCGCCGGAGAAGCAGGCGGCGGCGGCGGACGGGGGGTCGGAGACGACGGTCTCGGCTAGGAACTCGACTGCTGAGCCGGAGAGCCGGCAGAGCGCGGACGACTCGGGTAAGACGGAGTCGCCGCCGTCAGGGGCAGGAGAGGAGGAGACTAAGCAGGCATCGTGATGTTTGTAGGTTACTTGAGAGCAGTGGCGGGTTAAAGGGGCGCAATACAGTCTCGGAAGGGGAAGAGAGGTTCTCCCCTTGTAACAGGTACCACGGGGTTCAAAGAAGAAATGCTGTCAAATGGAAGTTTGTACGTCCTCACCAGGGTTGTCTTGTCATGCGTGTGTGTGTGTGTGTGTGTGTGTGTCACCCCTTTAAACCCGAGCCCGCCCAATCCCGCCCTCCCCTTCTCGGCCCGTAGGTTACACGTCAAGATATGTCGGAGGGAGTTCTTCTCGGGGGAGCACGAACACCGCAGGGCTAGATAAGGCATGCGTTTCCTGTCGATCCGAGCTAGCCAACTAGCTGGAGAACTGCTTGCTCGTCGTCGCAGGAGAAAGTATAGTGACTATTATGCGATCTACTCAAGCGTGAGAGAGGCTTCCACGGAGAATTTTGGGAAACGGAACCGATTAGCCAGTTGGTCGTGTCTGCAGCACTTCTCATGCCAGCCCTCGAAATGGGTTTTGAGCAACCGTGTAGTCTTAGAACTCGACTGAAGTACCCTCTTCTGCCTGTCCACAGCAGTAAAGCTCTAAACTTTTGTCGACCTTGGTAGACGATGGCTTCCATCTATCCGCGTCTTGCACCTTCAAAGGTCGACGAACTTGGCAGGAGAGAGAAACCAGCCCTCCTTCCCAAGAAGTCAGACCCTCCATGTTTAGAAAAGGGAACTGACTAGCCGGTTGTCTGTGTCTGCGTCTCTCCCTCACGAGTCACGGCCTCATACAGCCGAAAGCAGAATACGCCCCCTTTTTTTTTTCAATTTTCTTCTTCTGGTCTTGAGGGGTCTTGTATCGGAAGACCAACGAGTGGGTTTGTCGGATGACGAATATCAAAGGTGGCTTTGGCAGCTGTGCTGACGTTGCCTTTTTGGGGGCCATTCAGCCCCCATCGCATGAGTCTCCGATTCGTAGTCGTCTTTGTTTCCAAACGAGACCAACAGAACCCCCCTTGGGCGGGCTGGGCCACGTCGTCTCACTCTGCCTCCATCCCCATCGCTGGATACAACCAGTGCGTATGTTTCTTCTCCAGCCCCCCTCCAGCCTTGGAAACCAGGATGCGAGGGTTAAGAAATAGAGGTCCTGAGTGGTGCGACGTTGCGCGTGTCTTGAAACGCAGAGCGTTAGCCCCAGGGGTTGGTTGGATGGGTGGGCACGCGCGCCAGCGCCCGTTGAGATTTGAGAAACTTGGGGTGCCGATGGCCCGTGGGCTATCAGCCGTTTTCTACCTGTTTGGGTTCATCCCAAGACACGGGACGGAAACAAGAACAGCAGCCAGGGGAAAAAGCAAAGAAACAAAAAACCGTGCCGAAATGCACATGTCGGACGGGGGGTTGGGCGGATATTGTATTCCTTCAAAGGGGGGAGGGGATGATGTCTCGGTTCTTGGACGTTGGAAAGACTTGCATGTTACTTTGCTTTTTTTTTTTCTCACCAACCGAACATGCTCCCTCCGTCTCTTTACTGTATGGAGTAATGCTTCCCACTTCCTCTCCACCGTAACGAAGCATTTCAGGTTCCATTCGAGGGGACGATATGACATGGCTCAGATTGCTTCCGTGCATAGCGCATCTCGTTTCCCAAAGGGAGTTGTGTTTTTCTTTAGAAAAGGGAATAAAAACAAGTTGTTCCATGGCACGGACTTGCTACTCGCTAACAGACATGCCATCCCAGCGCCGACCCCGGCTAGAACTAACACCCCTTCATTTCAGCTCATTATGAACACGGAGGAGGGCCCGGGGGCCGGGGTAGTAAATTGGGGGGTCTCCAACCGGGCAACCGACAAAAAACAGCAACTAGGTAATTAGGTTGGCAAAAGTTGGCACGGTTGGTAACAGTAACAATGTTTTTTGTTTTTACTTGACGCTCAAACGGTTTTGATTTGTTTTTCTTTCTGGCGGAACTCTCTGCCCTAGTAAATACAAGAAACTGTTGTTGTTGGCTTTACAACAAACAAGAAAGGTTCCTGAACGTGTGTCTAAAGGAGCGACTAGAATAGTTTTGTCGGCCTCCACAACTGGTGAGGGATGAGTTACCCCAAAAAGTCGTGTAAGTGAAGCCAGACAAGAACGAGACCTGGCCACGATACCTCATCTTTCGTGAATGGATGAGATTTCGAAGACGAGATAGGTCTCTCTCGCGGGGGGAAATAGAGGGGAAACGCCTAGATTGCTCCAATTGCTCCGTTCTCTCTGTTTGACCGTACGCCCCGGGTTGAAAAAGGTTTCCAAAAAAATGACTCTATATCCCAAAGAACTTGACCTCCCCTGATCCCCCGCTAAGCCCACACGCGTAGCCGCGCTTCTTGTGATGGGGTATCTCTTTTTTTGCAAGTGAAAATAACAGATGATGTTGGAGGTCTTCTATAAAAGAAGAGTCCGTTGTCATTGTTAGGGGTCATAAAGTCGTAAGCGCACAGCGCGAGTGCACGCGGTCAGCCGATGACTATTCATCGACGCCGCGGCCAAAACTCCTCTTCTTCTAAACGTAGCCAAGAAAGGAAGGCAAAGATCGGTTTTTGTGTTCCCGAAGAGAAAGCTTAGTTGCTGATGACAAAGTCACGCTTGTAGTTGGGGGACTCGTGGTGGTCGTCAATGTCGCGGCGAGAGGTGACGCCGTTGTTGCCCAGGGTGCAGATGAGGTCGGTCTCGGAGGTGACCTTGGTCTGGACATCGTCAGGGAGGTAGTAGGCGTTGTTGCAGGGCCACCAGTCGCAGCCAGAGATGGGCTCATCGCCGCTAGCGGGCCACATCTTCTTGACGCCGTTGTGGTCGTTGGGGTTGACAATGGCGGAGACATCAAAGTAGGTCAGGCCGTTCCAGCCGTTGAAGGCAACCTCGCCGAGCATACCGGCGACGTTCTCGGAGCCCTCAGAGACGGAGTACCAGTTGCCGATCCAGGAGGTGGGGATGTTGACCTTGACCTCGCCGCCGGCGGGGACCTCGACGGAGTCAACAGAGGCGAGACCAGAGTTGGGGGTGAAGTGGACGGTGCGGGAAACGTCGTCGAGAGACTTGAAGGTGACGGTGTTGGCGGCAACGAGAGCGGCCGAGCCGAGGAGGGTGAGAAGGTTGAACTGCATTTTGAGTTGTGGAAAGGGGATTTGTTTGTGTGAGAGTGTGTAAGTGCCGGAGCGTGGTTCGGTGAGTTGAATGTGAGTTGTTTGAAAGAGTCCCGTAAACGTTGTCAACAACGGTTGTACAGGTTCAAAAGGGTTTGAAGATGGTTCTAGGATAAGCGTCTAGCTAAATCTTGAGAACTGAGTTGCCCTGGATGGGTGTTGTGGTGATGGACTCGAGCTTGGTCTGTGAGTTTGATTCTGAACGGACCGGGGCCGTTGAGTGGATGAAAGCTTTCAAAGGAGTGAAAAGCTTCGTGTGTATGTGAAAGGAATGCTGCTGTCTGAAAAGACAAAGTGTGAGGCTCGGCCACAGGAAGGATAGTGATGCGGGATGGGGAATCAAAACCGGGGAAAGGGAAGGCCTCGTGGGAACCGGACCATACTTATACACATGTCAGAAGGATGTGGGAGAAAAGCCTGAAAAGGACTTGCTCATGAGATGGCAGTGGGGAGCGGAGCCGGAGGCGTCAAGGAGTCAACAAGGACGTCCACGGGTGGGAACGTTTGGATACCGCGGTGGGGACTTCAGCCCGAGGGTGTTTCCCAGAGTTACATGGAGTAGCCTCCATCGGAGAGTGGGCTAGGATACTTGGGCGCCATGATTGTAACTTGTACAAGTCGTTGTAACTTGTCAACCATGATTGGACGTGTCTGTGGAATTAATGGCCTCACCAAGCTCAGAGTTTTCGGTCTGGACCAGCACGGAGTCGCATAGGTACCAGGACGTCTGCCATCCTTTTCGGTTCGAGGGCACTAGACAAGGTTTGAACACAACGGTGTCATGGAGTAATAGTGTACTGGATCTGCGCAGTATACTCGACGTACATAGACTGTAGTAAACGAGTGGTTCATGGATCGTTTGGAGCTGGAACAGGGAAAGCCCGCCCAAGGTTGTTTTCGGGAACATCTCTAATAGATCTTCATCCTGTCAGACTTATTTCCAGTGTTTACGCCTATTTCTGGAGTTCCACTAGAGTTCCTTTTCGTTTCTAGCGTCAGGGCGCCCTCCGTCGGGAGTTGGCTGTGCGGCAGGAGCACGGAATCGACGCGGCAGTGTGTGCGGGTACCTGGCGCCAAAGGAACACCCACGGACTGGAGGCTGTCGAGGGATTTCGGGGGTCAGGCGTGCCAGGGTGACGAGGGACAAGGCGTATGTATTTCGGTACACCGACGTCTGCAGGCTGCGAGTGCGTGCTGGCAAAAGGAACCGCGGACGTCAGCCCTTGGTGCGGTTTTTGTTTTTTCCCATCCTGCATGTGCGTCAGCTTTCCAAAAGTCTGTTGAAGAGTGTTATTGGCCTGTTGGCTGCTGATTGTGCCTGGTACCTGACACTAGGAGACCTCTGCGCGTGGCGTACCCTGACAGGTTGGAGAGAACAAGTGGTAGAAACGCGCGATTCGAGGCAACCCGGCGCTCCAGCACACAAATTAGCGCCGCGGCTCATGATTCGTACCCGGTCAAGGCCATTTCGGCTCATAACGGGGGCTTTCCCTCGAATAGGTACATACTCGGAGCAGCCCCCTCTCCCCCCTCCCCCTTGGCCCTAAAGCTCTGGCCCCTAGTCGAGCCACGGACTGGTGAGAGGACTGGATAAAATGTGCCGGCCAGTACCGAGTGAACCCCCCTGTCATGGGACGCCGGGTTACGCAGCCGGGCGGAAGTTGGGAGGGAGTGCGCGGGAGAGCCGTGCTGGCTATGCCTTTTGGGTGAACGCCGAGACGGCAGCGCGTGGCTTGAGCTCCCGCCGCACCGGTTCATCTGTACTAGAGAGTGACAGGAACGGCCGATCAATGTGATGAAATGCAGGTGATGGACCAAGGAACCAGACGACAGCGACGACTTGAGCCAACGTTTGTAAAGATGAGATGACGGCCTCGCTGGCAACGCAGGCGTTTCCGGGGATGGGAGACCAGAGCGCTCACTGGAGCAGACAGCACAGAGGCCAAGGCTCACTCAGCAAGGAAAAAGAAAACACGACGACATCAGTCGTTGGACGACAACCATCTCGGTTGGCAATCCTTCAGACTCCTGTGACGGAGGCGATGCCACGACGCCGGAAAATGCCTCTCTGTGCCCTGGCAGACCCCATCGGCGAGGAATCGTTGCTGGCCAGAAGGGCTTGGCGAGGTACATCCGAAAGTGTCCAGGAGGGGAAGAGGGGAGAAGAAACTTCAAGGAAGAAACGGCCAGACTGGAGGCTCTGAGCTTTGTGAGCGAATCGGGGAGCAAGGTTCAGACCAAGGTTGTCGACCTGGACCACTGGTGTGAACTTGTAAAGTTGGCACCAGGAACAAGATGTCAGGGCAAAGCCGCAAGGAGGGTGTGATGGAGCGTGGCCGAAGGGGGAAGGAAAGTGGGTTGTACCTGTCGATCACAGCCCGAGTGTGTGGTGTCCCGTGCACTGTAGATGAGGCCGTACTGGGGACTGAGGGAAGGTCGTTGGAGTGATAGATGAATTACGGCAACTTCGCCTCAGTTACTAACAGTATCTCGACATGTGGGCAGTTCCCGGTACTAGGCGGAGGTCCCCGGACACTGCCCCGACGTCTACGGTCTGCCCCCTCCTCTCTCGGCGCTCCTCACCTGCCATGAACAAGTTTATTCACGCAGTGCGCGCACATGCTGTCAGTGCCTGCATATTTCGATGGCCTGAACTTTCAGGTTCAGTCAATCGGAACTTTCTGATTTTTCCAAAAGTTTCTTTCCGATAATTGGCCTCTGCCTCAGCCTGAGTCATCTGTACATAGTGCCTCAGGCCTGCAGGGCAACGCAGCTTACTGCGTAGGCTCAACGCCACCAACATGTCGCGACTTGCGACTACAGTTGACGACTCAAGTATCGCCGAGTTATCCGTTCAGCCATGGACCTTGTTGACTAATAGTACCGAGGTACACAATACAAGGAGACACACGAAGCAGAAGAAGAAGAAGAGTATGAAGAAATTGCCATTTCACAACAGCCAATATTGAATAATTGGACTGAATAATTGCCCATAAGTTACCGAGTATAAGGCTGGGGACTACAAGGTAGTGTGGCAAGGAGGTAGATTAAGGTGATATCTAAGGTGTAGGTTAAGGTGAGAGATGTACTGCAAATCTCTTTTTACCGTCAGATCGGTTGCTCGTCTGTGTTGTCTATCCACTGGAGCATCTTTCCCCGACTTGGTCTCGGGCAGTAACAGACACACGTGCTTGCTCCCGGGATACCGTGACCGAGTGGTCAGCAACGAGGAAGCAAGCTTTTGCTGCTCGGTGCCGCTGCCTATTGTTTCCATTGTCTGTCTGTAATGGTTGCATTGGCATGTCGCATATCCTTGGCGGCCCGTTGAGATGATCATTGGGACGGGGCTGTTCTCGACCGCAGCCGGTTCCACTGATCATCGCTCACTTTCCGGACAGTTCGCACCTAGGGCAGTCACTGCGGAAGGAATACTGTACAGTACGTACTTGTGATGAAGAGCCTGCAGGCTGCAGCAACGGCTCGTGAAGTCGTGGCTGCCAACAATGAAAACCGCTCCAGTCTCGACTGCCACGATTGAGTACACTAAGGTACTGTCGACCTGTGTAAGGTAATCGAGCCTTGGGCTACCTTATGCAGTTCATGGAAGCCGGAGCGCAGGCCGCATGTTTGGTAATCGGTACGTATCTCGCTGCACCAACCGTCAGATGCTGAGCCAGCCCTAAACGGAAGGCAGGTCCGTTCGAGAACGGGGCTCCGGCGGGCCCATTTTCAGCAAAGTTCTGTCCAATGCAGGAACCGTCGATGGGACGGAACTCGGTTACGCCAAAGTACCACGGCACCGAGACGGAAGTTGGAACCTTCGTCTCCGACAACAAGGTACCTCTTGCTCTAGCGCATCCCAGTTAGTTCTTCAGTCTCAAAAGACTCTTCACCTTGCTTTACCTTCCGTTTGCGCCTTGGCTTGCCAACTGATTTCTCAGCCAGTTTCTAACTGGCTTCTGGCCTTGGACATCTGATGTCGGAATTCCCTCACACCATCATCGCCAAAATCCTTCTCCACCGGATCCCCGTTGCAGTTCTGTCGGTGGAACACCGCAATCTGGATTTCTGGCCTCGGATTGTCCCAGCAGCGGCCCCCAAGCAGCATCACCATCTACCCACCCAGCCTTGGAAGCGGATTCAGTGTCGCAAGACCTTGCCGGAAAGCTCTTTATCGTCACCAAGGCGAGGCGGGGGACGAGCTGTGATCTCATTGTGCCCATCGAATCCCCCGCCCTCTGCCCTATGTTGGCTCTAAAGCTCCTCTTCCCCCGCAAGCTATTCCCACAACCAATGCCATTTTGCCATCCACGGATACCAAGAAGTGCTCGCAAACTTCACTCCAACCACACGAACTGCCGAGGAAGAAAACCTTTCACGCCAGGTCTTCTTGGTTGTGGATGCCTTGCCCACCCGTCTGTCCACCGCGCGCGTCACCGGTGTCGCAACGGCGAAGAACTTCGCGACCGAGGTCTGTCCGGTGCCACTCCGTTAAACCCGAAACTGTTCTCGACCTGCGAAGAAGAAACTTGGCGCCGACGACCGTTAGCACCATGAACCCTGTACCTTGAAGCGAGAACGTGACAGAGGCCGACTTTGACAGCAGGACTCCCCGCAAGATTGTAACTGTTTGGGTGGAGGGGCATTTCCCTGCTTCAGGTGGCCATCTCTCAACCAAATCTGCAGGAGCGTTGGCACTCTCACTATGGAACTGGCGAGAACAAGGCTCGCCTGCTGCTGCTCCGATAGCTGCCTTATCACTTGGATCTGTTGAGGCGTATCTTACGGACACCGATTCCATCCAACCTGAAGCATGAATTTACCCGGCTGTCGTTGTTAGGGCCGGGTTTTGGCTGATATTGCTGCTCGACTCTACTCATCCAGAGACCGGCGCGAGAGACTGATCGACACACAAACACCATCGTTACGCGATGTGATAATCTGCATGCCAAGTGGGTTTGCTTCTACAGCTTCAGCGGCAACGGGCGCTGCCTGAAGAGGACATGGAAGCTGTGTTGTGCTGACTCTAGCACTTGCGCATCCATCTCTCTTGCTTTTCTTATCACCATTCTCTTTTCTCTTCCTCAGCGCAGAATTGCGAAAATCTGACTGCAAGCCGGCCGTTTTGCCTAGTCTCAACAACGGCTCGTTCAGATACACCAGGATATTCGAGATATGCCTGGAGGCGTAGCTCGCACTGAGGGAGCGTCTTGAGAACTCCTCTTAGAAATCAGCTACAAGTGCTAGCAATCTGCTGCACTGCTCAGAAAACCAACTATGCAAGCGCTGGTTGTGGTCTTCTTTTTCGCGTTTTCGCCGTGTCAGTCAGCTTGTCTGTTTAGAGATTCACATACATTCCAAAGCGTCGAATACAGCACCATCTGCTGAGATGCCCTGATCTGTTCAATTGGCCTCAGTCAAATCACGAGGCGATTTATTCAAGCAGCCGAACCCGTCGGCCGAAGGTGAATATATTTTTGGCAACTTGGTGAGCAGCATAATATTTGCGGCCAGGCTACAGAGGCGAACACGAGGCAACGTTGTTCTGTAAAGACTCATATTCTGCACCTTTCTTTGATAAGATGCTTAGCTTCTGGCGTCGAATAAGTCACTCCGGAGACATTTTCCAGCCGGGTTTTCACGATGCGTATCCAAAACTAGAGGCATTTGTGGTTGATGACACGAACTGTCACCGCTAGACCCCTACCATCGCATAATCACTTGCCCAAAAAGATTTCAATAAAGTGACCGGCCCAATAGAAGGATAGGGTCGAGAACCAAACCCTCAACCCACCTCTGCTGTTCTGCCGGCCAAAGCAATGGCGCCATTCCCGACTAAGCATGACAGGGCAGGACTTTCTCGTATCTTCGCCGTCCACCTTGCCGGGACGGAGTCACATTCCTGCCTCATGGCCACATCTGGCACGGCGATGCGCGCCACCTACAAGGTGCGTACAGTCATCAGTACCAGCTGCCCATCAGAACCGAGACGCAAAGAACCGAATTCGGGGTTGGAAGGCGGGCAACGATACGCCCGACTGAGCAAGGGCGGCGATGCCCGGCAACATCGTTTTCACGGCGAGGCAAACATCCCATGCCGTGTAAGCACCGGTTCCAAAGCATTCTTCTGCACGATGAATCTATTCACGCAGAAATGACCCCGTCTCTACGATACATAAGGGGAGCGATCGCCTGGCTTGGCTGTATTATATCGTTCTGAATACCATCGTTTAGACCTCTCACATCCGCCCATCACCTTTGCTCAACTTGCAGCGTGCCTTTGGCAGAAACACCTTCGCTTGAATCAGAGACACTCGCTTCCAATCTACGATGAAATACATCCAGCTCTTGTCTGTAGCGGGGCTCGCAGCCTATGCGCAGGCTTGGGGGACTGATATCAGCACCGCTTACACGACTGTGGTGACTACAGCCTATGAGACATACTGTCCTGTAAGCTTTTTGAAAAGCGAAGACTTGATGCAAGAGACTAGAATGCGAAGCTGACATGAATCAAGTCGCCCACTACCTTTGTTCATCATAACGTGACTTACACGGCGACCACGGCAACGACACTTACCATCACGAGTAAGTCGACCAGGCTCGATCGACTTCTGCTTTGCTGCCGTACTGACATAAGAACAGACTGTCCTTGCACTATCACTACCAGACAACCCCCACCATACACCACAAGCAAGACTATTTACCCGCCGCCCGTCGTCAACACCACTTCTTGCCCGCCAGAGATCACCAGCACGACGGTCAAGACGATCAAGACCACCAAGCACACCCCGCCTCCCAAGCCGACCTACCACAACACCACCGTCATCGAGCACACGCCCAAACCTCCCAAGCCTACGGGGCACCCGACTCACTCGGAGGAGACGCCCAAGCCGCCCAAACCCACGGGCGAGCATCACCACCCCCACCCTAACAGCACCTCGACTGTCGTTGTTGTAATCACGCCGCCCGCCGAGACTATCATCGCCAGCACTACCCCCGTTACCCCCGTCACGCCCGTCACCAACCTCCCCACCAATACGCCTGTCGGGCCAACGACCACCAGGCCCGTCACGGTTCCCGCGAACGCGGCTGGTATGGTTGAAGCTGGTGCTGGTGCGGCTTTGGTTGCTGTCCTACTCGCTCTCCTGGTTTGATCCGACTGGATGGAATTGGGGAGTGAGTACATCTGACGAATTGGCTTTTAACTTTCATCACCTTCATTTACAGCCGGCAAAAGTTGGAAGAGGTGAACACACCGGATAATTATCTTTGCTTTCTATTACGATACCCTACGGCAAGTTTTGAAGTTTAAGACACAACGGCGGTTATCTATGGGGAGTATAGGGAGTGTTTTGCCATATTGGGTTACATACAGTCCTTACGAAAATAATGATAATCATAGTTCAGAGAGCAGACGTACTCAGACATGTCAGCACATCACTAGAAGCAATCCTTACAAGAAAGCATACCTCAAAGTTCGATTTTTCCCCCTCGATAGGTGATAGGTCGGTCGATAAGGGAACGACTTGATAAGAGCCGCTGCAGTGAATAACGCAACTCTTCACGTCCGCCAAGAATCAATAATTCAGAACCTCGGGCAGCTGACTGCATATACAACACACCCTCACACCACAAGCTACATAAGGCATCGAACTACGACTGTGGCCCCGACCAAAAGCAGGCTGCGGGACCACATACACCCACACCGAAAAGAAGCTTCTCCAGCAACAAAGAAACCCGCGCAGAAAGGCAGAATCTCTGCTGCGCCAGCGAGAAGCACAAAAAGACAGCGCCGATACTGTGTAGTTTGCGACGACGATGGGCGAAACGGGGGTGCTGAACAATCTAGTGGTCTTCCTGACCCCCCGCTCGTGCACGCTCTTCGTATTCCGCACCACGACCCCCGGCAAAAACGAGCCAAGCACGTGGTTCGTAGCCCGCGGGAAGAAGCTTACATCGATCGTCTAGGTACGAAAGCGGGCGTTTTTGGCGTAATCGTGATCGTGGGAGGGTAAGGGTGTAAAGACGTGTTGGGCTGGCCGGGGGGTGGGTGTTCTCGTATTCAGGCTCTTAACCCAAACCCGACCTCCCCCCCCCGCCCGCCTTCTTTCTCGACTACTACCGGTAGGTTTCGTATATCTCTTTCCCGCTCGCCTCGTTTAACGTCTAATACGGTGACGTGAGATCTTGTGCGTGGCTTTGATGAACCGTCATGGAATGCGTGGGCAGGGGGTTTTTGCGGCCTGCCCGTGAAGATATTTGGATGTTTTTGTATGGACGAGGGAAGCCAGACGCGGAGGGGAAAACGTGGAGGCGGGAACGGCGCCGCAGGCCAGTGCCGGATTTGGATCCGCGATTGCGCAAGGAAGTATAAACCTACCTGCCTCGCTTGCACTAACGCCCACGGGGGAAATCTCAGTTCATAGGTCTCCAGTGGGATTCACGACACTGGAAGAGTCACAAGGTGCTAGGTTCCCGAGGCCATGTGGTATCTCATTATTTTACGCCTGAATACTTGAACAATCATTATACGCCGAGTCCATCAGCACTCCCTTTTCTTCGCCTCATCTGTCTGTGAGGGCCCGGTAGACATGAATATGTGGTGTCAACAACCCCTCATGGCGTATTGTACGCCTGTCGTATGCGAAGGTTTCTGGGAACCAAGGCGATTCACGGTGCCGCCTTTGCTTATGCCGGACTCAGGGACTGATGCCTAATTCCGCATTCCTAATGCGTACCCGAGCCTCTCTCACCAAAGCCTTGGCCTCCTCAACTTCGAAGCCATCTTGTGTCAATTCAGTCCCCAGTCGATTGGCCGTCTTGTAGTCCGCCGTCCGCATGGCATGCTTCGCGAGCCACATTCGCGCTTTGCTCGTCGACGCCGTGACACCAGTTCCCTCGTTCCCGCCCTCCTTGCGACCATCACCGTTACCCTCGTCGTCAGATGCGCCTGGCGAGTCGTTGTGTATGGCGATCGAATCGTTCAAGACATTGTCCGCGGCTTCCCCGCCCTCTTGAGCGAGACAAAGTTCCATGTAGGCTTTTGATTCCTCCTCTTCGCCGAGCTGGTCGTACATGCTTGCAATCTGGAAGAGCAGCTCCGGGTCCAGATGACCTGTCGCGCCACGGCCGTTGAGCAAATCCCCTCCGCTTCCGAAGCTGCTTCCAACGTCGTAGTATGCGTCTGCCAGCAAAGCTCTCTTTAGCGCCTTGATACCATCCTGGTCGCGCCCCATCTTCTGCAGACACGATCCAACGGCGAGCCACATCTTTCCATCCCAGGGCCTAAGCCCGGCTGCCTTTTTGTAGTACCATAGACTGTAGGTGTGCATTTCCAACATTTCGTACGTCTGGCCAAGGCCGTACCAAGCTCGGTAGTCCCGGCGATTGACATCGACGGCGCGTCGATACGATTCTATTGCGGCGTGGGTATTCTTCAGCTCCACATACTCGTGACCCATTAGTGTCCATGCTGACAGGCATGTTCGGTCAAGA